GAGGTGAGCAGAGATACCCACGCTCTGTGCACCGTCTCCCGCCCACCCCAAATCTCCGCCTCAGCACCCCCAACATTTTGGCCTTTGTCTGAAGGGTTCTCCGGCCAGACGCGGTCTGCTCCCTCCTCCCCAACCTCGGCGCCCTCCGGGCCGGAGCTGGAGCTCAGGTACCCGCGTGGCGGCGCCTGCGGCCTGCGTTCGGGCCCGGCGTGCTCTCTTCCCGCATTGTGGAGCGGCGGTACCCACCGAGTGCCCGCTGCCCCCGCGAGCGCGCGCCACTCTGCTCTCTTTCGTTATTTCTTAGAGTGGTCATTTGGATCTGGGCGCGCGTGGGAGCGAGAAGCGCAGGCGAGAGAGGATCAAGAAATCGCCCCCTCCGTTCTCATTTTTAAGAAGACAGAGCCAAGAGTGCACGCGGGCACCGGCGTTTTCAGGGGCGCCGCTGCGAGCCCAAAACACGACCAGGCTGGACTGGGTTGGCAACACCAGCCGCAGTGTTCCTAAGTCCATCCTATCAGGGCGCTCCAGGCCTCTTGCTGCTCATGAGGCCCCGAGTTCAGCCAGCAGTTAACTAGGAAGTATGGAGGGTAGTATTTCGCAAGCGGGGGTCTGGCCAGCCTGATCCAGGTCGAGGGGAAAGTAAAGGGAACCTGGTTTTACCCCGACAGACCCCAATATACTTTGGAGAGAAACAAATGGCCAAGGACGGCTTCCTCCTAGCGTGCACGGAACACTACCGCGTGCCGGCGGCGGTGACCGAGGGCGTTGTGTGCGGGAGTGCGAGGAGGCCCCGGTGCGCCAGGTGGGAACCCCTCCACCCTGCAACCCATAAAGAAGACTTAGGAACCTCAATCTGCTCCTCCCTCTTCAGGAGGGACAGTCGGGAAGTGTCTCGGATTGAGAGTGAGGAGTGAGAGGGCCTCAAGCCTTCCACGGATTCCACACTGTGTGTAAATTTCCAGAATCGGCTTGTGGTGATTTCTGTGTTGGGAAGATTTAGGATTCTCCTAGCTCCTGAGCAAAGTAACTTTCCACAGCTTTGTTCCATATTTCTCCACCTCTCTCCTCGGCCTTTAGGTGCCCCCCCCCTTTCCCAGGGCATCTTTTTCATGGGATCATTTTCTTGTTTGAGTCCGATTTGGGCGGCCGGATAAATTCTGATTATTTCTCTCCCTTTCCCCCTCCTCGCTCCACCTCCTCCCACTTGCGGGTCAGAAGTCCAAATCCAAGGCTTCAAAAGAACTGCCTTTATTTCACCAGCCAGACAGGCGTTGAACACCGAGAGAGGCCAGGTGCCTTGCAGATCGCAGACAAGCCAGCTAGGTTTGCCCGGGACGTGTAAGCTCTTTCCCAGAGTTTACTCTGCAGTCATGAATTTGGATCTGGTGACAGGAAGGATTGCTGCACAAGTCCAGTATCTTGGGCTAATTTAATGCTAGGGCAATCAGAGGCAAAGGTTCCTAGAAAATTAGAAAATGCTTCTCAAAAGTCGAACTAATGGATTTCAGGGGACAGGTGGAGAAATTAACCCACAAGGCTTTGCGGGAGACAGACGACCCTGAATCAGCTTCCAAGTGCCTGCACATTCAGGAGCCCTAGCAACTGTCATAGGGAGCTCGGGTGGCCTAGTGGGCAGGGAGCTGTGCTGCCAACTCAGAAGTATGCTGTTTGAATCCACCAGCTGCTCTGAGAGAGAATGATGTGCAGTCTGAGGATTTGTAGCCTCTGAAAACCTGATGGAGGGTCAGCTACGGCACTGAACTGAATCATAGCAACTGGTGCAGTGGTGTGGTATCCAGTGTAGCCCACAGCGGCTCTGCAGGTCAGAGAGCACCTCACCAGGTTTCCTAGGCTGTAATCTCCAGGACAGCAGCTCTCTAGGTCTTTTCTCCTGTGGAGCTACTGGTAGGTTCAAACTCTTGACCTTTGGGTTGGCAGCAGAGGGCTTAACCACTGTGCTAACTGGGTTGCCTGCTTAAGCAACTAGAACTACCCAGTTCCTGGCTGCTCATGATTAAGGAGGGCCCACTGAGTTGCATGAATTCTCCCCCACATCAAAAACACTAGTTAATAAGGTGTCACACAAATTGTCACAACCTTATTTTCTTAGCAGACTGTAGAGTTTCATTTGTGTTAGATTTTGTGAGTGTTGTAGCCAGCAGATCATTTTATGAGGCCTCCTCTAGCAGTGGGGAGATTGGAGAGATAGGAAGAGAGGTGTGAGTCACCCCAATAGAGAAATGGTTCAACACACTCCAGCCTACCTGGCCCTATCATTTCCCATTAAATGGCCTCAGTCCAGCCACCTTCTGTCTCCAGGTGACTAATACCTCCTGTTACCCTCCCCTGTGCCCCACGCCCCCTCCTCCCCGTCTTAATTCCCAAAAGAGTGATGCCTAACTAACTGGTAACTAACTGCAGCTTCTGTCTCATCCCCTCTTGCATGACCCTTGAAGCAGGTGGGACAGAGCCCAAGCAGAGGAGGGGGAAGGGTGTGGAGACATAGCAAGGTAAAGCAGAACCTGGCTGGAGTGTAATTTTGACCTCAGAGGCATCCTGACTGGTCAATCTGGGGGTGCAGTTTTTACCCTGACCCTACCCCCTTCTTTCCCACCCTGGCAGCTCCATGTTGTTCACCCCAGGTCCTGAGCTGGGGTCACAGAAGGCCCAGGCTGCTCTCCAGCTCCCACCCCAAGCCACATGCATCCCAAGCCCCCCCCCCCAGTGCCAGGCCCCCATGGTCAAGGGTGAAGTGGAATTCCCTTCCTCTCTTGCCCATCCAACCTTCCCACCAATTGCATTTTTATGGCCCAGCCTCTCTCTTACCCTCAGTTTTACCCTTTTAGATGTCTCTTAAAATTCAAAAATTTACATAAAAATCCATTTTCAATCATAGACAGGTACCACCGAGGTTAAGGCAGGGTTTGGGTGAGTGTTTGTGGCCGCAGAGTTGCAGAGAAAAGAACTAACCTAGAAAGCATGCCGGTAAGCCAGGGAAAGAGAAGAAACGGAAGTTTTTCTTGGAAGGAAAGAAGATTAGAAAGGCAATAAAATGAGAAGTTGAGAGGTATATTGAGGTTACTTGCTGTCCATTTTCCTACTCTACCCCTCAATTTGATTCTTAATTCCGCTATCAAACTGGTCCTGAGCGTCTCTGAAACTCTAGTAAAGAATTTTAAGACAAAGGAAACGCTATCAAAGAAAACCTCTAAATCCAGGTATGGGCACTGTGAGGAGGATGAATTGGCTGGAGGAATGGCCACTGTCTTTGAGTCCATTTGGCTCCATGGCCAGCCCTTTTAATTCCATAAAGAAGATTCAGTTATAACCCACCAAGCTCTTTATTTCTTCTGTCCTCAGATGGAGCCCCATCCATGTCCCCGCGTCCCCGCGCTCTTCCGAGTTTATATACACAGCATGAAGACAGGGATCTCTCTCTCTCTCTCTCTCTCTCTCTCTCTCTCTCTCTCTCTCTCTCACACACACACACACACAAACACACACTCTTACACTAAGTGTCTGCGGGAGGAGTGTCCTGCTCTCCCCAGCTCTGCCCTTAAGAGAGGAAGCTGCCCAGGTTGCCAAAGTCACATATAAGTGGCAGTTGTCCTTGCCAACAGCAAGTAAGTCAGAGTACAAAAGTCCCTTTGTACCCCTGCAGCTCATTTAATATTATTTATGCATTTTTGTGCAAGGAATTGTGGGATTCCCCCCTACAGTAAACAATATGGAAATGTTAAAAATAGCAATCTTATTGCGCGGACAGTTATGCACAGCAGAGTGACTTGGCCGGGGCTGCGGCGATGGTTTCTCAAACCCAGCACCCGCAAGAGAGACAGAAAGAGCGCGACGGTGACGCTGCGCCGGGATCTCACAGGCGTCCGGGGCTCACGCCGCCGCGGACCCCCTCATCCTCCGCGCGCCGGGACGCGGCAGCTTTAAGGGGGGAGGGGCGGAGCCGCGGGGGGAGGGGCACGCTCCAGCTTCTGTCACAGAGCGCCCGCCAGGCGGTCACGTGGGCGCACCGCGCCACGGCCATTGGCCCGAGGCACGTGTCCAGGAGACCGTCCCGCGACGTCACGCGAGGGGGCTCTGTTAAAAATAAGAACAAAAATCCAGAGTGAAAGTGTTTCAGGCTCTTCTAAGTGGCCTCTGAATCCCCCAGCTCGCGCGCGCAGCCCGGCAGAGGCGGCGTGAGCTGCGGAGCCCAGGGAGGCGGCCAGCCCGCGCGCGCCCCCCGCGCCTCACCCATGCGCCCGGGACCCCGCGGC